CTAGTATTTTATTGGTCAGAAGGTTTCGTCATAGGTTTCGTCAGGTTTCGCCATTCGTCACAGGTTTCGTCATTCGCTACAGACATTTTCAAAATGGTCGTGACGAAATGTTTCGTCATCGTCAAGTATCATTAATTGTATGCTAAGACACTCAAAGCTTTTTTACGATTCTAAAAAACTTTTCATCAACGGATTGACCCGCAGATTGACCCATCCACCCGGGTGACTATTATCACAACCCTGAGCTGATCAAAAACTTATTGGTTTGTATCATCTGCCGATCAAAAATTTACGTATTACATGTACATCAAAATATCGAGTCTAGGGTCGTTTCATTACTTGTTATAGTTATTAAATATTATATATTTTGATGAGTATATAATTATTCTAATACTCAGTTCTGGTACGTAGTATAGAAAACAAATGCGTATATTGTACGCATTGATTTTTTTCACCATACGTTACTTCTTTAAGAACTTGTACTGTACGTTTTATCGTAGGACTCACACACACGTCATCCCTGTTATTTATAGTACCCTAGCCACGACCCATTATTAAAATTAATTAACCAATCGAATCGCAAGATCAACGTGTAACGCAAAAATTTCAAAACAAAAACGCGTAAATTTTTCGCTAGTCTTATCGATTAGTAAACTTAACTCATGTCCCAAACTCGTAAAAATTTTTATCAATAATGTCTAGTACCAAAATACACAATTATTTCAAGCGGAAATCTGGAGAATGGAGCCTTTTGGGGTTTTTGAATGAAAGCGACGAAGAACAATTCCGGCTGAAAATAGATTTATACCTAAGAAGCCTTGAAAATATTATTAACTACGACGAAGGAGATAGGAAGGAAAAAGCACAGTTTCTCCTTGATAAATACAGAAAGGCAAGTAAAAATGTTTTTTGTTGGAAATATAGATGTGAGTAAGTGGCGTGGCAAGGAATCAACTAGCTTCTTTGTCATTCAAGTCAATTAGCCGAGCCACAAAACCAGCGTTGGGGCACAGGTAACCAATTAGCTTGCCTGATGTTCAAGTCAATTAGTCGACCCAGCGTTGGTCCCATTGGGGCACAGGCAACCAACTAGCTTGCCTGATGTTCAAGTCAATTAGCCGACCTAATGGGATAAGAAGTCAGATGGGAAATCAGGGACATGATAGTTTGGAATATTGCTAATTCCTTCAAGTCTTCTTCGCTAGCGTACTCGACCTGACCACCAAATTGCCAAGAATTTGAAAATGGAGCGTAGATCGAACAAAATGCGTGACGTACCCTCGATTAATATTTCGGTAAGTGCTCAAAACATTGGGATCTTCAATGATAGTAATTTTAGTGTTAAGAAGGCTCGGGAAGAGGTAGGTCTTAAGTCACGCTTAGTTATATAGCTGAAGATGTCTATTTTGACCACAAATATATTGTTTTTTATGAATTCCCTTAGGAAATAGTATTCAGAAAAAGAAAGCAAGCATGTTATACGGAAAGCCCGATCTTGACAGAAGCGGAGACAAATTCTGATTCAGATTACGAAAAAATAGAAAATGTCGATATACGCTTGATAAGAGTTATTCTAACTTGGCGAGAGTAGAATGATCAATCTACTCAGTACATTCCTTCTTTTTAGGAGAAAAGTAGTCACAAAGATTTCATATCTTCTGAAAGGAAGGATGCAACAGATATCTTGCATAAGAAACGCAGAAGAACTATCTCACATGACAATCAAGATAGTGACATAGATATAATATCAGATGATGAAATGCTATCGTTTGCAAAGGTTTGTTATCTTTTTTCATAATCCCGCATAGAATTTATTACTGATAGATTCTTTTCAGGTTACAGATAGTATGGTAGCAAGCAAACTCGCAAAAATTAGTAAAGGTATAATATGATATACCTTCCCGAATGTAATCAAAATGATGTTATACGCGTTGCATTTAATAATTAAGAATGGGAAACTTTCAAAAATGCTTTTAGCCAGGTCAGTAATTTGGCACCACATCTGATTTGCGCACATCATGACAAATTAGTTGACTAGTTGATTCGTTATTATAATATATGCATCATGGTTCTAGGTAGAGGATGAAATTATCTCAAAGATTTCGCCTCCGTTAAATAAAGTAGAAAATATTCTGAAGGTAAACCAGGAAGCATTAGAGAAGGCAATGAATGGAGGATACATTGAACTTGATGCAGTATTCCTCATTTATCATTATCAAAACGGATTCAAATTTTTGGAGAGACTGGTTGGAAAAATGGGTAGACAATGTCTATCAGAGATTGTAAATGTCTACTGTTTACTATCTAGTGCTATTTGTGATTGTAACTTTATTAATCTTTGGTGTTGGTAGTTTAATATGCTTCCACCTATCAAGGCATGTCCTGAACGATAAATCAAGCAGTGAATATCAGTATCGAAGTTGGATAGTAAATTTATTATTTGAAGATCTTTTTTTGGATATCAGTTCTGTTATCTGATTAGAAACGTAAGTTATTTTTTTTCTTTCGTATCTTAAAAGCATACTAACATGTATTTCCGATAGTGTTGAAATTGAAAATAAACATCTCAAAAGGAGCTATCAAAGCTTCCTATGGAACGGCGATCTGTTGGATGGTTCCATGACGGAATTCTCACAATTAATGTTAATGGAGTAGATGAATGCGTTGGTATTCTCGAAGTCGTAGGTAATGCTATTAATGAGGACCACGATAAGATGATTAATGATCGAGAGAAGATCCTAAAGGCAATGCGATTAGCATTGTTTCAGCTTGAAGAAACTTTACGTCACAATGGAGTCAATGACGAACAGAAACTCAAGCAACTGCTTGAGACATTTGGCATTCTAGTAGATAGTAAATAACATTTGTCGCATGATTTTGTTTATCAAACTATTCTTTCTAAAACTGCATTTTTTTAGGGCGAGATTTTATCTTTTATGCGATGCATTATTATGAAGAAGCATACTTTGTTGATGAAATCGCCTTGTCCTTCGTAATACCTAACACACCGATGCAATTATTCCTGTTAAAAGATGTCATAAAAAAATTATTGAAATTCAGGGTTAGTAAGTTGCTATTTTGCAATATTATTTTTAATGGACATTTCTTAATCATGATCTCTAATAAGCAGGCTCGTATTGAATATCTGAAAACACGAATAACAGCACTATTAGAAGATGCAACTTCTCGACGTCGTCCACGATGGACAACAACCGTTGTTGATGCATCTCCGAGCACGTCAAAAACTCGTAAAAAAGTTCCACTGAAAATAGAAGTTAATCTTGGATATGTGATAATTAAAGGGTTTCATCATGGATCGGTCTCATTTATAAAAATGATTTTCAAGAAATAAAACACTCATTGTTAAAATCGCTTTACGTAATGCTGTCTACTGTTGCGTTCCTTCTAATATTTACCGAAAGGATGGTTTGGAGGCACCAAATTATTGCAGTTATTGCAATAACCAATCGATTCAAGGAACTTTCTGCAACGGGGTGTGAGTTAAACTGAATTATTTATGGTTGGAGGGTCTTTTCGGTTGTTCTAGAGGTTTCCCGTAGCGATTTGTTCACAAATCGGCCTTTTCAAAATGATGAGGGGGGGGGGGGTACTTGAAGAATAGATAAAATAGAATTACTCTTGTAATGAGTCGATTATTTTAATACCAATTGATGCGAATATGACAGGACTTATTGATACAGCCCGTCCAAAAAGAAACTCAATATGAAAGGGTGATTCGACAGGGCTTATTGATACGGCCTGTCCAAGAAAAAACAAAACTAATTTCAACAGGACTTATTGATACGGCCTTGACAAAGTCAACTTAACAGGACTTATTGGTACGACCTGTTCAAGTAAAATAAAATCAAAATAGCAATTCACAAGAATTCAACGGCTTATTTAGAGTGAAGGAGCATCCACTACTTGCAATCACTCACAAGGTTTGAAGTTTGATCACGAAACGAAAGAAAATAATAGTGTATTCACAAATAATATTGTTATTACGAGTAAGAACTTTGTTATTTTTATTCGATTTTAAAGCACGATCAAAGCATGTCTTCTCAGCGACTTGAAGACGCTTCTATATACAATTTCGAATTACTACGCTAATCCTATGCTAATTCTAAGGTTAGTAATTTACATCGATGGTTTCTTTTGACACGACTAAACACTAATTGTTCGATTGTCTTTCAATTGTCCAGACGATTGTTATCCCTTTTTTACAGTTACTATCATTACGTACATTTCGTCGATGCTCTTCAATTGTTCAGATGATTGTCGGGATTATCCTCTCGATAATCGTAACCGTTACCGTTATGAGTATTAACTATTGTTCGACACTCCCGATTGTTTAAATAATTATTGTGATTTTTACTCTCTCGATGATCGTCGTATATGTTATATTAAAAGAACGACGGAATGGTCGTAACTCGATATAAATAAATAAACGTACATGTACATGTATCTATTCCTAACTAAATTTGGTTTACAATAGAACTTACACAAGAAACTAATTTTCATGTAGAAATTGAGAATCAAAATTACGGAATCGAAGAATTTAATGCTACTTTGGTAACACTACGTGAGGAGACGGAATGGAACAACAAATAACTAAATATGCCAGAAAAGCTTCCAGAGACAGCTAATTTTTGGAACATCGATCTGAAAACTAAATCAATCATTAAGAAAAGTGTGGATCTAAAGTGCTATTGGTGTTATTATTGAATAACTAAAAATCCTGCTAGAAATGAATATTCGGTATATAGTAATGATTATAGTGAATATACCGATTGTGAAGAATCGAATTACTGCACTCCAGGTATTGATTACTACAAACGAATCAAATTGTCTAGCGAAAATAAAGATATCGATATTTAATGAATGCGCGAAAATCAAAGCTGACTACACGAAAGCACAACACCACAAAATGAACATCAGCAGAGTAAATTCGATTTGACGTTATTGTGTATTTTTATGTCTACATGTAGTTAAATTATTTTATTTATATACTTTCGGTATACATGTACATTGCCCTCAAAATTGAAATACGTACTATTTTTTTAATTCTCCAACTCGATTTAAATTTTGTTGCAAGTTTTATCGAACCACCAATTTAGCTACTTATCGTTATGTTCAAAATAATCGCATTGCTGTTTTTGGTAGCAAATTAGACTATGTAATGCATACTACACATCTGAATGAGTATAGCTTTTTCTATCGGAGTTTTTCTGTATATACGATTCTCTTTTAAATAGTGACTGGCTGAAAAAACAATACATTTACGCATAATTACTGTACAATACATTTTTTTGGTATGATGTAAACAAAACCTAATCCAAAAAAAACTAAATGTTCACCTTTTTTCTTTACGTTTAGGTAAAAATTTTAAAAAAAATGTATACATGTATAAATCTGCATGACTGGCCATTATTGTAAATAAATACATGTAGTTTGATCACGTGATCAGGAATCGAGCACAGATTATAATTGCGCGTTATGCGCATTCAAGTAATACATAAAGGTATTGTGCATAACTTCTAAAGTCATCAAACGTTTGTACATGTACATGTATTTAATAAAATGGATAAACATCTTTACTAAGAAGTAAATACAAAATTTAATCCCTAAATATGCTCAGCAAAGGCCTATTCTATCATATTCACGGATTAAATTTTGTATTTACTTTTTAGTAAAGATGTTTATCCATTTTATAAAATACAGACGTTTGACGACTTTAGATTTTATGCATCATATGTATTTTATTGACATATGTACAACAAATGGTTAGTGATTCGCTACCTCAATAACTATAATGAACTTGGGTTACAAGTTACAATGATAGATTCTGGCCAATTGGTGTTAAGAAAATCCGAGTCCGAAATCAAGAAAATTATTATCGTTATAGTTATAGTTCTAGGTAACCTACGATAAATCACTGTGTACTATTAGTAAAATTTTCGGATAATAAAAAATATCTATAGTTTCTTTTTTATTTAAACTAAAATTTGACTTAATAATTATATTTAAAGAGAAAGAGAAAAAGTTATAAAATCATATTTATCTAAAAAAATTCTTAATTATCTTGATCTTTAGCCTTAATAACAGTTGCAACTCGCCGTGGTATACATCCAAAGGCACTTTTTGCTATTCTTCCTTCAATACCTCAATTAAATCCTTTTTGGAGGTTGGAAGAGGTTCTCTTTTCTAATTTGGTGATTTAAATGATTAAATTGGGACTTTTAGTAGCCCATTCTAAAACTGGAATACTGTATGTTTACATCCACCAACGACTATAATGCGAAGTATAACAGGAAGCACACTATATTACTGAATAGTTATATCAGAATGATTACTCATCCAAGGAAGCAAATATTTGGAAGAATATTAAAATAACTGTCAGAATCGAGATCGTTATTAACCTCCATCAAAGGTCCAACTCCATTCAATCCAATACATCCTTAGAACATTACCGATACTCCACCAAATTTTACTGTTGAAATCACACAATCTTGTTGGTTTTTCAAAAGATTTTCGCCATACTATTGTACATCCGTCTGAATGTGAAAGAGAAATCGTGATTCATCTGAATATTCCATTTTTTCTTTTCTTTGCACATCATAAATGACTTTTTATGTTGAATAGTTAAAAAAGGTTTATGATTTGCATTGTGATTCAAACGATAATAATTACGTGTGATATTAGAGTGAATTGAAGTATTAATATATGCATTTAGTTGATTTGTAATTTTAATAAGCAAAGCTTTGCGATCTTTTTTTACAATACACTTTAAACTTCGTTTATCACGTCATTTTAAATTTTTTGGTCGTCCAGTGCGTTTTACAGGATGTGGAATTAGTTGTATCACGTACTGTTTGCTTTGGGATAGCGAGGGTAGAGGCAATAGCTGAAGCATGGCTCTCCATATGATATGCACCAATTATTTGTTCACGAAGTTCTGAGCATAATTTTTTTCGTGCTAAGGATATGAATAGAAAAAAGTGTGTATAGAGAGCGTTTTTATATACAAATAAAAGATCGAAACAATGTAAAACTCAGAACAAAAGAGAAATAAAAACAAAGTACGTAAAACATTACCCGATAAAGAATAATGCATATGCACAGTGATTTATCGTAGGTCAGTGTAGATGACGCGAGCTCAGTGTAAAAAATTTAGATTTGAAATTAGGTGTGTAAAGTGCACTTAATTTAAATTTAAAATTTAATGTGTGTTGTATAAAAATTTAAAGAAAATTGCTAAAGCACGCCTGTGGTGATTTTCACGGTAAGGACAAGATTAACAAATGAAACAGTAGTTCACACCATTAGTGTGATTTGACGCATCCAAACCTAACTTACTTTAAAGACCAAAAGACGGTTCCCGCGAAATACTCTAATTATTCTACTAATTAACTCACGAATACAAACTCTTCCCTTTCTTTCGTTCCACAATTTATCTAAGTTCATGAATATAAAAATTATATGAACTATTGCTGGCGATTTATCATAATGCACATATATAAAATTAATACATCAATACAATGTGTGGCTGACGCACATTATCGTTATGAATTTTATGTCTCTTTATTTTATTTTATTTTATTTACCATTACGTATCGGTATGATCTCCCTATAAAAAAAATGTTCAACTAATGTTCGACAAATGCCCAAATTGTTTATTCAACATTATTTTTCAACAAAAGTAGCAATTTTCCGTGTACTAGCAACCTAGCTATAAATTTACAGACACGTAATTTTTAGGAGTAACCAATCAAATTACCAAAATAAAAAGGTTAGAGTTAAGGTTATATTATAACGCGTGTTTGATTATATAGTAAAATTCACAAGGAATCTTGTTAGAACATCAAAAACGGTTTCATAGATAAAATTTCGAGATACAAGCTACGTATTTTGAATTTTTCTGTTACACACGATCCTGCGATTTGATTGGTTATTAAATAAAAATGTCCAACTCACGAAATAATGTTTAACAACCAATTTTTATTAATGCAGTTGCGATTTTCAGTACACATGTATTACATGTACGTACGTATTCGGATAACTGATCAACAAAAACGATAAGTTCCCATGCACAAATCATGGGTCTGAAATTTGGTATTTAAAGAATTGTAGTTTACATTATTATAGAGAACAAAAACCGGCTTTGAATCTAATGTTCTCTTTACTTTTTCAGCATGTGCTCGACATTGGACCTGACCTGATAAAGCTCTAACTAAACAAATCAAATCAAATCAGAAAGACGCAGGTAAAAATAGTCAGACCTCCATAAAAGTTTCCTCTATAAAGAAACAACCTCCGAAAAAAAAATATTTTTCTATAGATAATAGAGATACCTCTATTAATACGTAGAACACTTATACAATAGAACATACATGTAATTTGTCCCAATTGAGTTATTATATGAAGGTTTGTTTGTATTTTGTATATTGATAAACCGAAGCAATCTCGGTTATGAATTTTTTTGATTTTATGAACTAAATTTAATATGACTTCAATAAATCAAAAATTTTTGTTTTTGTTAATTTTTTGTCTTTATTTGACTTTTGCTGTTAGTCAGAATTCTATCAACACTACCATAAACAATTCCATTTCTTTATCTTCCGATACTGAATGCGCGAAATTTTTCGGGGTCAGTGAATGCAGTACATGTCAAAAAACAGCATATAGAGCCTCTGACAAAAGCCTTTCAAATTGTTTCAAGTTACAAAATTTGACTCTCGACGATTCAACTGAATCTGATTCTGCTTTGCTGAAGAGTAAATGTGATCCAACTTGCAATCAAACTGCGATAAAGACTTTAAACGAAGATATTCAAAGAGAGTCTCAACAAGACTTGTCTGAATGGGCGCAACAAAGTGATTATAATAATGACACTAAGTATATTTTACCGGTTCTTTGGGATGCAGTTTACTCAGCAATTCCAAATATACTGGCTTCGTGCAGTCAAGCTTCTGATGGATGTAAGTATTTATATATGTGCCTATATCCAGTGTTATCATTTTACTATGTCCAGTAACCAGAAGCTAATGGATCATACTGGACTTATAAAATTACTAAGTCCAGTGGTTTGGTGGCACAGTGTTAAACGATGTCAGTTGACAACAATAAACTCATCAATAATAAAACTTTTATTTTATAAGCAGCTTACTGTTCGCTCAAAAGTTAAAGAATATGTATCAAGTCTAGACAAAAATAACTTTACAGTACAATTATTTCCACCTAATGGGTTAGTTTCATATGGTAATCCCAAAGAAACAGTATCATTACCAACGAATATTACTTGCAGTAACTGTTACTCAGCGTTGGCAAAACCTTGGATCGATTTCTACAAAATGAATTCATCGTTAATTCCTGTCGTTCAAACAAAATTGTTAAACCGATTGAAGGAAATTTAACTCAATGTTCAGGTAAAACAAATAGTTCTGGGGAAATGATAAAAGTTTATTGGAGTTTTATTTCCGTATCAAGTGTATTTGTGTATTATTTAATAGGTATAAATAGTTTGGGATGATTTCTTTAATGTTTTTTAATGAACGTATGATTTTCTCGGTTCGGTATGATGGCATGTAATGGTATTAGTATCCTCTTGTGTGACCTTAGCGTTAGTAAATCAATTTAGTGAAGTATATATTATTATCTTTAATATTATCGTTATCGTTATTATATACCGTAAAGTTCCAAAAGTAAGCAACCCTCCCTCTTGAGATTTCAAAGACTTAGAAAAGTTGAATAAGCAACTCCTATATATAATAGATATGTATGTACATATATAATAATAAAAGTTATTTATAAATAACTCAAGACCCAATGATCCAAATCGAACGAAACAACTACCAAAATGTTCATCTCACTAAAACGAATTTAACGAGCTAAGCACGCTCAATTTGGACAACTTGTTGCCGAGAGATTTACATTTTTACGAAAGACTCGAAAATAAGCAATCCCCCTTAAAATCGATCTAAAAATGATAATGTAGAGGGTTGCTTATTTTCGGGACTTAACAGTAATTGATTTTGTCTTTAAATCAATTCTCAAATTTTATTCTATTATTAAATTTTAATCGATTCTCAAATATTAATCGATTCTACAAAATTAGTCGATTCTCAGAATCGATTCTAGAGAATCGAATCCTATCCCTCTAAATGATAACTAAGAAGTATTGCTAATTTAGAATTTAATGACGTAATAATACCTGCTTCGAAAATGATATTAATGAAACAGAAAATAACGAAACAAATATGAAATCTCAAATCTGATGATAATAATTCAATTGTTTCTATAACTTTATATTTAGTATATCTATATATTCAACTAATCAAAGCACAACTTTAACTATTTAAATGTAAGGTATTGTCATTGACTACATATACTAACAAAGCTACTGCGAATTTATTCTCTGATCGTGAGTAATAGAAAAGATAGGAGACTAATAAAGTATTCAGGTAAAGATAGAAGACTAATAAAGTATTCAGAATCATATTTTGTTGCTATTATAACTAAAATATCACTGAAAAGAAAAATAAGAAATATCAATGAGTGGTATAGAAATTCTTGGTTGTAAATTATGATTTTTTATATGGAAACAATCAAGTATTTTTACATGAAAAAACAACCAAACAGAGATAGTCCATGTAATATATCAGATGCTAAAATTACATCGTTTCTATTTTGATACTTCTTAGTAAAGATGTTTATACATTTTATAAAATATAAATGTTTGATGACTTTAGATATTATGCACCATATTCAAAGTGATGTTTAAAAATCCAAACTGATCACTAAATTAATATTCTACTATACAAAAGGAATATAGATCGTATCAAAAGCTATTTGGTAATGTATTGTTTTGTGATTAAATATTTAAATGGAAATCCTTGCAATTCGGATGGCTTTAAACTCTATGCACCACATTGTCTTTAATAATGTTCAACGCAGAAAGCTTGAAATTAACATTTTCCATTGTGAAAATCTGTGTTCGAAAAGTTCTTGAGAGTTAGATGTGAGCTAATATAAAGACTAGAATAATGTTTATTTTTCTTGAATTTATTTTGCGTATAATTAATCTTACAAAGTTCTGTAAAGAATAGTTTTCTTAACAAATCTTTATTTTGTAAACAAGATTAGGAAAATGATCATTAATTGAATTTTGGTGCAGGACGTCATATTGAATATGTGAATTTGATACACTCAAATCACGATATAGTGAAGACATCTTGGTAAGAAGAAAATATACATTGTAGCTTATATCAAGAGAATATTATATAACTTCATTATATCGAGTTGAAGTTTATTAATAATTATAAAAAAATTCTTCACTATGTCGAGAGTGAGTTGTTTATTGAAACTAAATGTTGCAAACTTTCTAGTGCAGCTTTCGTGATTATGAAAATGAAATTTACTAAAAATTTAAAAATACGAGTATATTTTTTCAAAATCAAAAGATTCAACTAGCTCCCCTGCTCGATCATGATCATTCTCGTGTGCTTTTTGATACCATTTTAATGCCATATCAAGATCAATTGGAATTCCGAATCCGTATTGGTAACATTCAGCTAATTTGAACTGTGAGATATTTAACCCAGATTCAGCAGATCTTAAATACCATTCAAATGCTTTTTTCTCGTTCCTATTTGTTCCATTTCCTTGAAAATAGCATTCTGCAAGAAAATACTGAGAATTACAAGCATCAAAACTTTCTGACACTGCAGATGTTTGAAAACAAGCAAATGCTTTCTGTAAATCTCTATTAGTTCCCTCGCTGTGATAGTAACATCTACCAAGATTAAATACTCCAGTACTTTTAACCTTTGATAATTCTAAAAATAATTCAAATGCTTTTTTTTCATCTCGTTGTGTTCCTACACCATTTCGATAACAC